CCCACCCATCCATCCGTCCATCCAACCATCCATCCATCCATCCATTGATACATCCATCCATCCACCCACCCATCCATCCATCCATACACCCATCCATCCATCCATCCATCCATCCATCTGTACATCCATCTTTCATCCATCTGTACATCCATCCATCTGTACATCCATCCATCCTTCATCCATCTATCCGTACATCCATCCATCCATCCATCCATCCATCCATCCATCCATCCATCCATCCCTCCATTCATCCATCCCTCCATCACTTACCTCCTGTTGCAGTTTGTCTACAGCACTGGTGATTTGTTCATGCGTGTTTTGTTGATACTTTGTGATCAGAGTCTCTTTCAGGTTCTGCTTCAGCTCCTCGTTTAACTGTTCAGACACACAAACACACAATTAAATTCAGCAGCAATCCACTAAAATCCCCACAAAAGTGTCACCGGGCCCGTCCAGAGGTGAGGAAATGCCACACTTAACCTCCTGAGACCCGGCCCATTCATTTATGTCCATTATAGTGGACATTTTGTCCACCTGTACCCCCCTAAGTATCTGGGGTTACCCTATCAAGCCCTATAGTGTTCTGTAGAGCACATCCTGGGCTTTCCAGTGATGTGCCATGTGATAGCTTTGCATGCTGGGAACTTTACTTTTTTCCTAAGAGTTCTTAGGTAAATATCCCTTTCAAGACATCTTCTTTTTTATTATTTAATTATCTAAAGCCTGTTCTATTTTCCCATGCAAATCGTCCTGTTGTCCTCCACAGTGGACATGCTATGAAATTAAAATTATTTTTTTTTTTTAATTTAAATTGTAATGTTCTTTTTTAGGTCCAAATACATTGAAAATCACAACAAAAAAGACATTTGAAGACACTTTTTTTCTTTGGGTCTCAGGAGGTTAAGCTCCTTCTTGACTCTAGGTCTAATGCACTAACAATGTTGGAGCAGATGAGAGCAAAACAAATCCAGAGGAAGTGAGTTTTTTTTTTTTGTTTTTGTTCCTTCCGACCGGTGGCAGAAAAAACGCTCAACGGAGGAGCAGGAGGTCTGGAGGGCTCAGTTTCTATGGCAACAAGCCAGCCGGGGAACCACTGTAAATCAAAGCGTGAAGGAGATATCAAGGGAATGAGTGATGAAGAGAGGAATAGAGGACAGAGAGATGAGCGATGAGTAGAGAAGACAAAGAGAGGAGATAAGGGCGGGTGGGGGGGGGGGTTCAGATTTTACCTCAGAAAAGTGGAAAAGCCAGAAAAAGCCAACGTCTTTGGTTTCCATTTGAACCCAACTAAATGTTTTACTTTAACCCGAATCAGCGGTTGATTAACTAAAGTCTGGGACCTGGAAATCGTCTACACGTTCTGATAACAATCCCTGAAACTCCCTGAGTGAAACAGTATTTAGTTTGTGGTAGTTAGTAGTTTGTAGAAAGGTTTCCCTTGTTCTGGACTGATGGCCGTTAGATTTAGAATTAGCCACCAAATCACCACAAAGGAGCTGAAAACCGTATAAACCTCAATTCCTGACAGAAGCTTTAAGAACTGAGGCAGAAGGCCAGGTAATCTCACATGTGAAGGAAATGTATTTGTCCAAGTCACAAAAAAACAGAAAACAGAGTAAATAAAGACCTTACTAACAAGACCTGTGGTGCAGATTCAAAATTTGGGATTTTAAATATTTTTAGTCTATTAAAAAGAAGATTAGTTTGGATCAAATGTATTTGGAGGATGTGTATTTACATCTTGTATATTAGACCTATGGGTCCACTATAATGAGATATTTCCTCTCACTGAATTTTGGTTGCAACTTAAATGACACAGATAATATGTTTTACCCTGAAACCGTATACACAATTAGCCCATAATACTGTGTTAGTTAGCCTAGAATCAATATAGATCCCTGCAGGTAAAGCAAATCTCAGGTTATATTAACAGTAAATGAAAGAGAGAGGTCAAAGGTCAAAGGAAGAGTAGATTTCTGTCCCTGTGTGTGGCTTTTTGCTTTACTTATGATGAATAGATGCCGACCAGTGTGCAAACTTTGAATAAATGCAAACCTTTCTAGTCTTATAAACCTTGAGGTGATGCTTCAGCTCAATGTGAATAAGTGTGACAGAGAGTGAGTTAGCAGCTCACTCTTCTATCTGAAGAAAAAACAAATAAACAAATATGGCTGTCACGACTTGTTACCAAACAGAAGCGTGAGTAACAATACCAATAATAATAATACCTCTAATAATAAACCAAAAACAGGAGTGACCTTGAGGGTCTCGGACCTCTCACAAGCGAGAATATTTTGAAGGAAAAAAGGCTCAGAGGAAGTCAGACAGAGCTGTGTATGCTCCTGAGTTGTGATTGGAAAATTAAACTAGCTAAAAGGCTTTAGCCATGAGGGACCATGTGGATGGAGAGAACTGTTACTGGTCCATAAAGAGAAGGCTCTTCATTATCTCCCGTTAACAGTGCACTCAGTTTTATGTGCATTCAGAGCAACTTTAGCTGGAAAACACGCCATTTTTACTACATTTAGACGTAAACCTGCCATTTCTGGAAGTATAAGGAGCTCAATTTGAGAGCATTTTAGCTTGAAATCAAAACAAATGCGCTTAATGACAGTGACAGAGCGCTCACGCTGGTTGTGTGCACCACTGGAGGCAGTTTTCCTCCCATTTGGACTAAATGTACCGCGAATAACACGGGCAGTCAGATATTTGTATTTTTAATGGTCTGCCTTGGAATTTCCTCGCAGCGGTCTCGTTTATCATGCTGGGTTTGTCGTGGTTAAAATCAGAGCGCGGCACATGCCAAGAGGGAACTAAAACAAATGTCCACGGCCTGTTGAGACACTTTTAAATGCGTGTTCTGACTGGGAAACATGATCCTTCGTTTGTCAGCTGAAGGCCTCAAAGCTGCCACACTGGAACACATTTTAACATCAGAAAAGCTTTCAGTTCGGTCCTCCCAAAGATGTGAGTTAGAGTTCCTGTTGTTTCTGATACAGAACGACTTTTTTAAAGGGGACATATTATGCAAAACCAAGTTTTTAATCGTTTGATTCTGTACATTTGGGACTGTGGAGGGCCTATCAGCAGGCAAAGTGTGAAAAAAAATGACTGTGTCATGTTTTTGTGGGCCGCCTCAGTCTGAATTAGGGTTGTCACGATACTAAAATTTTCAACTCGATACCGATACTCAGGAGAATACTCAATACTCGATACCATTTTCGATACCACAAGGATAAAAACAAAGACCCCAAAATTTAACAGAATTTTGACAGGTTAGTGTCTTTCATTTGAAACTGACCTGTTACTCATGTTATCGTGGCCGGTGGCCCGAATTAATGACCCTAATCCTGTCCCTAATCCTAACTCTAACCCTGACCTGGACCCTAACCCTAACCCTCCACCTTTCATAATTGTGAGAAACCATTTTGGGGTTAAACTTGTTTGGACTTATTGTACAAACCTATTTAACATCCACTATTTTTAACATAATATTATGGATAGAGTTTAATTAAGTGTTTGAAAGATTAATTTCACTATTTTTAAATTAATGTCTATATTGCCATGAGGCATTACTATTTTCTTGCCTGGGATTTCCCTTTTGGTGACGTAATCAAAACGTCCGATTTGGATGTGGGCTGAGACGGATATGTACTTGATTAAGGGTAGCATGTTATTATTAGCCATTAGCCGCAGCTAGCAGTTCAAGGATAACGTCACGTTAATGATCATAAACAACGTAAATAAATACATAAATAAATCTGAAAGAAGGGGCGCAGCGACGGCAGGTCAGCGTGCTCGCGCGGTAGTATCGATACTTTTGAAAATGAATATCGTATCCGGATACAACATTTTAGTATCGATACTTTTTTAAGTATTGATACTTTTGACAACCCTAGTCTGAATCCAGGAGATAAATCAGGAGGTTTCAGGAGTGGGTAGTTTCTGACGTCATTAGCTCTAGCTCATTATAATATTATTATTATTATAATATTAATATTATTATATATTATCTAGCTCATTATAATATTCCAGCCTTTCACCTGCATGTTGCCCCCCCCCTCAGCTCACTCCCCTATCTGTGGAGACGTCTTGGTAGCGTGAGCGTTAGCATGGTAGCGTTAGCATGGTAGTGTTAGCATGGTAGCGTTAGCATGGTAGCATTAGCATGGTAGCGTTAGCGTGCCGACGTGGGCACACCTCCCTGAAGAAGTGGGCGGATTGCCTGTGTCTCATTTGCATTTAAAGAGACAGGCACTCCAAAGCGAGCGCTCTGAACGGGGCTGTTTTGGGTTTGGGTTAGGGTTAGGGTTAGGGTTGGGGTTAGGGTTAGGCAGGGGGACTGAACTGCTATTGGGCTTCATCCTTATGGGATTCTGACCAAAGCTTGTCACAGACATTACATTAGGACACCAGGGAACTAGCTTAACTTGCTGAAACAGGGTATAATATGTCTCCTTTAAATCAACATCTATTCTCTGATGTGTGTGTTCTGTTAGCCATTGCTTGAACTCTCCACAGGTTCACCTGAACATAGAAATAAGGGAGACAGAGGGATTACCTGCTGATAGTAGATGTAAGCCAGGATGCCGGCCAGGATCTCCAACAAGAAGATACACAGCAGCAGGACGAAGTACTGAGGACACAGGGGGGGAAATATAGGGGAGAAATTTAACTCATTGACTGCCAGCCATTTTCAGAACAGAGAGTCCTATACTGCCAGAGTTTTTGGAGCATTTTGACTGATTTTTCCAGAGCCACAGAATAGTTTGTGCTATGACTATGTAAACACCAAACACACCAAAAGAAAGAGTAGACTCTCTTCTTTCATCAGGAAAAAAAATGTGTTTCTGCCTTATTCCGTTCTTCCTGGACTTGCGTCTCACCGGCGACATGTTCTCTCATAGAACCGTTACCTTTTTCTTATTTGCCTACAGTCTATGCTCATCTCCCATCAAAAGTGGCACTGCCCCCTAGAGGGTCAATTTGTTACTACATACTCTGTCTAGAAGCCGATATTTACGGACAAGCTTTAGCAGATCGTCCCCCAGACACTCTCGTTAAAAACATAAAAGACGTCTATAGACGTCTTTGGCAGCCAATGAGTTAACAGGGAACCTCACCGAATATCTCCGACATTGCTTTCCAGAGCCATTTTTCTTTTAAACAAAACAAAAGAACAAAAACATGTAATGCTTGAGCAGCAGTTCTGCTGTACGAGTCGTTCTGATCCATACAGAAACAGTAACATCCAGGTGTTAATTACAAATACAAATAAAGGCTTACACAACCTCTCTGCAATAAATAAATAAATAAATGCACAAACAAAGGAGAGCAAGCAGAGGAGCAAACAAAAGTAGATCAGTTGAAAACTT